ACCCGGCACCACGTACGCCCCCTTCAAAGACCCTCCCGCCTCACAGCCCCAATCCCCTACGACTAATAACTGACAAAACTCAACGGGTTCTAAACGGAGAGCGTGAACGGGGGACATCAAAAGGGCGCCAGCAAGGAAGCGTGAACGAGTCAAGGACTGGGCCGCATCACTGTGAGAGGAGAGTACCGGTGGCTAGCAGTTTTGGCAGCCGAAATAAAAGAACCTCGTAATGTGAGCAGCGGAGCGTCTTGAATTAGACGGTTTAGTTCTTATACTCTTTGGGCGGTCACGAAAAAGTGTCATTGATATAAGCGCATTCCGTAAGAAAACTCCTTTTGTGCCCGTGCGTTCATGGACGAGTCGTTCTTGAACATCCTTAAAATTCTTGTCAAATCCGTGGCGTGTCCCAATATGATGCGTTCTTGGAAAGCGTCTAAAGTTCTTAGATCCGAGTTCCCGGCGCCTTGGCGTGGTCCAGAAGAGCGTCTTAAAACGTTTTTACATCCTTCGTAGAGCTCCCTTTAGTGAGCGTTCGGTGAGAAGAAAGCGTCTGAATAATGAATTTCTTAAATTCTTAAATGCCTTATCGTGTCAGAAGAGTGCTCTAAACACATCTTTAATTACATTTCATTCACTTTAGGCGTGTCCCAAAAAAGTCTCTGATATATCTTGATATCTTAACCCTTTGGCCGTCCAGTACCAGAAGGGGCGTCTTGGAAGACGTCTTAATTCTTAAATTCCTTTTGTCGTGTCAGAATAGCGTCTGTAAATTGTCTTAATTCTTAAACTCTTTGGCGTGTCAGAAGAGCGTCTGAAACGTCTTAATTCTTAAAACCCTTTTGGCGTGTCAGAAGTTTTGTTTCATACCAAGAATATTACAGGAAATTTACGTTTAGGTCCATGGCGAATGTAGTGCTAGAATGTATCCACTTTTGGGAAGGTAGATTGTATGCTATGACTGGATTTTCTTTTAAATAGGAGGACTGGATTGTCGACTTTTTTTACGTTGGTGCGTTTCCCTAATTCAATATTCTACATTCAAATCCTTTTTTAAATGTCAGCTTTTAGTAAAACCGGATATAATCCTTACCACTGATATATCAAGGGTAAGGGAGACAATACATGCACTCTTGTTATCAAATGTTCTCATAGTGTCTGAAAATTATTTCAGTCCACAAATCTTGTAGCATCTAAGGATATAAACATGTAAAGCTCAGAGACAATTGTTCTTGAAAAATGAATGAAAATAAAATCATATATATGTGTCTATACACACACATCACCCACATATACATGCACCACACACCACACACACATTTACACACCCATACATATGTATATCTATATGTTTAATAGTACCAACGATATTTTTCATTTATTACAGAGTAACTCGTTACTTCATTGATGGCGAGAGTGGGTATCAAGCAACTGTTAGTGAAGAAGAAGGCCCAAACATAGCTAACTTCTACTCAAACAGTCAAGATTTACCTGTCACAAATTTGCTCAGTCAAATAAGCCAGCAAGCCGTTAGCTCTCAACAGAACTTTAACTCTCAACAAAGTTCTGGTTCTCAGCAGAGCTTTGGGTCACAGTTTACTGGTCAGTTCAACAGTGGTTTCAGCCAGACAGGGTCAAGTGGTGTGCGTTCAACCGGGATTAGCTGGTCAGCGACTGGCTGGATCCACCAGTTTCAGTCAAAGAGGCACAAATGCTAATTTTGGCCAGTCAGGATCCCCAGTTTCAACCGGGCTGACAAGGTTCTACGTCACGTCAAACTTCAACCAGTTTTAGCCAGTCACAATCAAGTGGACTAGTGACAGGATCCAATAGATTTAGCCAGACAGGATCCGGGATTGCCAGCCCAACAGGATTAAGTGGTCAGCGTTTGAGTGGATTAAGTGGCATCTCTCAAACTGGCTCAGCAAACCAATTCAGTCAGACAGGCACCCTTGGTCAACGTGTTACTGGATCAAATACCTTCAGTCAGACAGGTTCAGGTGGTCAGTTGACTGGATCACCTGGTTTCATCCAAAGGGGATCAAAGTGGTCAGCGTGTGACTGGATCCACCAGCTTCATTCAGACTAGTTCAAATGGCCAAGTGGGGCTGGTCCAGCTAAGCTTCAGCCAGTCAGGATCAAATGGTCAGCGAGTGACTGGAATCAACTCAGCTTCTCTCAGGCCAGGAGGCAAGTGGTCAGCAGACTGGATCAGCTGGCTTCGGATCAAAGTGGCCACGTGTGACTGGCTCATCTTTTTGGCCAATCCGGAATCAAGTAGTCAGTTTTCTGGAGAGATAGGATCAGGCTTTCAGCCCAGGCTGGTGGTCAGCGAGTGACTGGATCAACCAGTTTCACCCAAGCAGGAGCAAGTGGTCAGCGTGTGAGTGATCAACCAGTTTTCTCTCAGACAGGATCAGTGGTCAGCGAGTGGCTGGATCAACCAGCTTCTCAGGCAGGAGCAAGTGGTCAGCAGATTGAGATCAGCTGGCTTTCGGATCAAGTGGTCAGCGTGTGACTGGCTCATCTTTTGGCCAATCTGGAAACAAGTGGTCAATTGTCTGGATCAGCTGGCTTCACCCAGACTGGGGTCTAGTGGTCAACGTGTGACTGGATCAACTGGTTTCAGCCAAGCTGGATCAGGCAGTCAGCGTGTGACTGGGTCAACCACTTTCTCTCAAGCAGGAGCAAGTGTTCAGCGTGTAAGTGGTTCAAATGGTTTCAGCCAAACTGGTTCAAGTGGCAACTGTCTGGATCAGCTGGCTTCACCCAGAATGTTCTAGTGGTCAGCGAGTGACTGGTCAACCACTTTCTCTCAAGCAGGAGCGAGTGGACAGCGTGTAAGTGGTTCAAGTGGTTTCAGCCAATCTGGTTCAAGTGGTCAACTGTCTGGATCAGCTGGCTTCACCCAGACTGGTTCTAGTGGTCAGCGAGTGACTGGGTCAACCACTTTCTCTCAAGCAGGAGCAAGTGGACAGCGTGTGACTGGTGCCACTGGCTTCAGGCAGTCTGGATCAGCTGGTCAATTGACTGGATCAGCTGGCTTCACCCAGACTGGTTCTAGTGGTCAGCGTGTGAGTGATCAACCCACAGTTCAGCCAAGCAGGCAGCAAAGTGGTCAGCGTGTGAGTGGTTCACAAATTGGTATTCAGCAAGTCTGGTTCAAGCGGACAACCTGTCTGGATCAGCTGGCTTCAGCAGACGCAGGATCGGTTCACACCTTTACGCCAATCTGGACAAGTGGTCAGTTGTCTCAGCACACAATCTATGGCTATCACAACCACAGACCCAAAGGATCCCAGATGCGATCATATAGTAAACGTGATGTACTGGATCCATCACCATGATTTCACCTAACCAAGCTAAGACATAATAGTGTCAGCGTGTGACTTGAGGATTCAAGTGGCCAATGTCTGTGATCAGCTGGCTTCAAGTCAGTAGCAGAATCATAGTATAGTACCAACCCTCAATTACTGATTCTAATCTGGATTCAAGTTCAAGTATTGGAGACAGATTGCGAGAGTGGTCCAGAGAGGAGCAGGAGCTACAGACACGTGAGGATCTCGAAAGCCAAGTTTCAATAAGTGAGCTTTAGTCAAAAATCTGGAGTAAGAACGTCCAAGGCAGCACACGCTAGGATCAGGCGGGATATGAGAGCCAGGAGAAAGAGAGAGAGAACAGGATGGAGCGTAGGATGACCGCAGACACAGAGAGTAGATAGTACAGAGAGCAGGTTAGCAGGAGTAACAAGTATAACAGAGAGAGAGGAGAGCAGCCACGAAATTGAGAGTCGAAGCTAGAGGGAGCCGTATATGAGCCAGAAGGACGGGACTCAGAGAGCAACGACAGCGGCACTGATCCTAGAGGGAAGAAGAGAGAATAGCTATACAAGCACTGTACGAAAAAAGTTCACGAGCAAGTTTCAAGTTCTTCAACAGAAATACTGGGGTCAAGAGTGTCTGCGAGTAGCGTACGAGCGGGAGATCCCTAGAGAGAGCGACACAAATACGAATTAGAACAAAGAGTATGAAAGGAAAGAGACTAAAAGAAAGAGAAGAGAGAACAAGACAGATTTGGAGCAAGAGAAAACGGTGTACATCCTTGTAAGTATAAGATTGAACCATATGAAAATGGAGAGGATGTCAATACAAACTAAAAAAATGAATAAACACACGGAATATAGCACTATAGAAAGCGATATAGCGTTAAGCTGACTGACCAATCTGATATATGACAAAGAAAGGAAATGTACAATTATGAGTATGCATAGGCAAAAATAAAAGCACCATGAGCATAATGCTAAAATATTCTTTTTCATACATCATTTTTCATCTACCCACATGCAGATTCATACTGTAGCAACAAAACAAAAAAAACGACACAATACTTACACCAACCCCAATATCTCACCAAATTTGCAGGTGATCCCAACCAGCTTGGTTAATATTCAAAAAGATATTATTCTCAGCTTCACTTATCTCCGAACAAGACTTAGGAGAAGATAATGTGCTCTAGAGCGTGAGAGAGATAAGTGAATAAGACGGCTATGAAAACAGAGATCATCCACACTCTTATGTGGCCACTCCAGATCATGAAAAATAAATGTGCTCACCCCCCTAACACTGTAAATGATATCTAAGAAAATCTTGGTGTAAACACGCAGATTAGAGCCAATACTAAACTAAGAATAGGATTTAAAAATTTAGTCATTGTGAGCAATTCTATATGTCTATATACCGTAGTTCCACCTCCACATAAGTGCATCATTGCTATCAAAAATACACAAATCTATATAGAACTAGGCGTACCTCTTGTAGATTTCTGTAGCTGTCAAGCGTGAAAATTCACCGGTGCGAGCGCGCGGCTACGTGAAGTAAATATTAAAACATAGTTAGAAATCTTAGAATTAGTGGAACTAGCCTTCGTTTGTGTGGAGCAAAATGTGTATTTCTGGACATGGAGGAACTGTTTGAATACATTATGTGAAACATGGAGATTGTGCT